CACTGATTTTTGACCAGTTGAATGTAAAATATAGGTAAAAGGGTAAATTCGCTGGATTTTATTTTCACTGAATCATTTCTTTGGTGAATGTAGCGAAAATTAATTTCACATTTGTTTCTATATTTGGGTTAATTCTTTGCACACAAAAATTCATTTTTCGATACCATTAACAAAGTAGACCAACATAACTTTTGATTAATCTAAAATTAACGACAATATTATTTAAAAATAAAAATGTAAATAAAATGTAAATAAAAATTTGCCATCAAAATTTTGGCAGGAAAAAAATTATTTCTGACATAACATTGAATATGTCATGGAAGGTGTTGTCAACACCTGTGAAAGTGACCTTTATAATCAGAAAGCCTTAAAACAACATTTTTGGAGTTGTGGGGGTACTGTACTCAATAGGTTTTTATGACAGAAATTAAAGGGCTGTGGCCTTCATGCAATATGCATTCAAGTTCTGAGTAAACGATTATTATATGCATCTCATTGGACAAGTATGGAGCATGACACGTTGAAAGGACCGCTGCCATTTAAAATGTGACAGTCATATGCATATAACAAATGTATTTATTCTGTTTATTCTTGAAAATTCTACAGGATGGTCTGCTCCGTCTGCCATTGGATTGGTTGGTATTGGTGGAGGATTGGAATTTGGAGCTGAGGTGAGAAAAAAAATCAATACAATCAGTCACTATTTTTACTTTCTTTCAACTTTGCTTGGAATTATTTGATTTAGTAATAACTGTTTGTAGTAAGACTAACAATTGATGCATAGATGAGCACAGATGATGTAGTGTTTGTTTCACTGGCCCCATGATTGTTTGGTCTCAAATTCAAATCCTGCCTTGAACTGAACATGAAAAATAAAAAAGGAATTGACCCTTACCCTGGGCAACTAATTGATGCATATAAATCTCTTCTTTGTAGGTGACTGATTTTATCTTCGTTCTCAATACCCAAAGCTCGGTTGATGCTTTCTCCAAAGGTAGCAATGTCACTTTGGGAGCCAATTTTTCAGTGGCAGCAGGCCCAATGGGTAGAAGCGTTGAGGGGGATGTTTCAGCTAGAAGTACTGCTGCCATCTACACATACAGTAAAACCAAAGGATTGTACGCTGGCATCTCAGTTGAAGGGGCAGGTCTTATAGAAAGAAAAGCCTCCAATGCTAAGTAAGTACTTTAATATTTTCACCACCAGTTCCCTCTTTACATCTCAAATTCACAAAATAGTCTCGTTTATAGTCTGCAAAACAAAAATAGCCAAAGAGTTTGAGTAAAAACTGAAAATTGACTCAAATTATGTCTGTTGGCTCCAAAATTAGAATTCATTTTCAGAAATATTGAAGAATATTAAAAAAAATGCAGAAAGATTTGTGCAAGAAACTCTGGTGGTGAAAAGCTAGGTGAGACATATTTACAAGGTTTAATCTTCTAAGATTTCATGTTGCTGGGATTTTCACTATATTTTAAATTCTTTGGTTTGTGAAGGAAACTGTACATTAAATTTGAATTTTCACTTGAGTTTCAATGTGAAAATAAAACCCAACTAATAATTTTCCACAGTATCAACAGTACATCCATTATGTAATTTTAATGCTTTGAACACATTTGTCTGTATTTTTACCTTGACCATACCATGATCATAGATGAAAGTCAAGGATATGAGGGGTTGAGGGGAAACTGTCTGTCCTCATTTTTGTTGTCATTGTTGTCAACTCCATCCTAAACTTGTTAGCTGATTTCTTTCAAACTTGGATATTATGTTAACCAGTTTGAGATCATGTTTTGTGTTCTATATATTTTTAGCTCCGCTGTCGACTTTGTCGAGCGGAGCTTATCGTATGCGTGATTGTCCGTCGTCCGTGTCAATGTTTTACTTTTTCAACTTCTTCTTGAAAACTACCAGCCTGAATGCTTTGATACTTGGTGTATATGTACCTTGAGTAGACCTCTCTTAGATTTGTTCATTTCATGGTGATATCTTCAATTCTCTAATTTTTAATGAATATTTTTGTCATTTTTGGTAAAAAGTGATATTTTCAACTTTTTGTTAAAAAACACAAGTCCAATTGCTTTGATATTACTTATATAGGTACTATAGGTGTACCTCTCTCAGATTTGTTCATCTCATGATGATATCTTCAATTCTCTAATTTTGATGAATATTTTTGTAATTTTTGGTAAAAAGTGATATTTTTGCCTTCTTGTTGAAAACTGGTTGCTTTGATACTATCCATATTGTTCATTTTCTAATGATATCTTCGTTCTTAATTGAAATGTGCATTGCTAACAGGGAGCTATCTCAGCCGATAGGCTGCTTGTTGTCATATATTGGATAAATTTCACAAGAATTGTTTTTTTCTTTGGTTAAGTAAACATTTTGATCTGATCATCTTGAATTTGAGAATTTTAACAAATTTTGGTGTAACTTGCAATTTTCAAGATATGGGATAAAATGTATAGTTTGTGTATATCCCATCCATTTTTTATTCAATCTAGATTCTCAATTGAAAAAGTAGCGAATTTTGAATAATTTGAACAAAATGAACAAGCAGTGAAGGGTTAATTAAATCAGATAAAAAAAGCAAATGTTACTGACTTGAAAGAAATGTATATCAGCAGGGGAGGTTGGGGTGGGGGGGTGGGGGGTGGGGGGGGGTGTTGTTGTCAACTATTTTCTTGTGGTTGTAATTACTCAAACAATTTGTATTCAAACTTGGTTATATGGAGTCTTGACCAAGCATAATTATGGTTTGAATAATGGTGAAAATGTGGATAGCTTCTTAAAGTTGCAATAATTTTTATCTGATCATCTTCTTAACTGGATACATTCAAAATGTAAATTTTGGTGTGACTAACATGTTTATTATTGCTTGTTTGGGCAGACTGTATGGTACGGACATTCGTGCTGTAGACATATTAGGAGGGAAAATCGCACCACCACCTGAGGCAGAGTTCTCTATGATGCTTTGAATTCACACATCTCAGCTGGTAAGAAAGCGGCTCTTAAAATGGCTGAAAGGGAGGCCAGAAAAGAAACAGCTAAACAAATGCAGAAATTGGAAGCAGGAGGTGGTGGCAGTGGGTTCTCACGTTGGAAGAGTATGAGTTTCAGAAGTAAAGGTGAGTTTTCATCATTTATATGCAAGTGAGTTTTCATGTACAATATTTTCAAAATAGTTTTAGGGTAGATAACAATGAATATGTTCTCTTTACTAGAGCTAGGTCAATACAGTGGAGGGTATAAAGCTGGGGTTGTTATAAAATTTTTTTATTAATATTCATTTTTATGATTCAAAATGGATGTTCAAGTTGACCAATCCAGAAATGGTACTGTGACATCATCATTTAAATCTAGTTAATATTAATGAGTTACTTCAACATTATCCCATCAGCAAGAGCCTCATTTTGAATAAGTCGTTCACAGTTGCTATGTCACATGAAGACATGCACATGCATAATGGTTGTAAACAATGTTTATCTCTTGAGCCAATTGTTAATAAATATTTGAATGAAAGCTGATGATCGGTACAAGTTTCTATAAATAAATTTATAAGCAAAGCTCCAGCTTTGCCTTTACTTTATGTGTATTGTTATCTTAAGAACTTATTCATATAACCTAGTACACTGAGAGGTGAAGCTGATAACAATTTTCACTTCAAGTTCTTGTATAATAAGCAGCTTATTTTAGTCCATGTTAGACCACAATGATAGAGAGACTGTGGTTAGACGAAGTCCAAAACTGGGATTTGTGTTTTAATGTCTTGTCTATCCATCCAATGTCATTTCTCAGACATGCCTAGACCAATTTAGTTCAAGGTTGAAAGACAAACCATAATACAAATGCACATTGATTTGTTTTACGTTTCATTTTGTTGATGCTTGACCATGTCATGGCTGTTTTGTTCCAAAAAGTACCAAAGATTAAACATTGGATATTTAAATCAGTTTGTTTTATTTTTAGCTCCGCTGTCGACTTTGTCGAGCGAAGCTTATCATATGAGTGATTGTCCGTCGGCGTCCATCGTCCGTGTCAATGTTTTACTTTTTCGACTTCTTCTTGAAAACTACAAGCCTGAATGTTTTGATACTTGGTGTATACTAGTATGTACCTTAGGTAGACCTTTCTCAGATTTGTTCATTTCATGATGATATCTTAAATTCTCTAATTTTGGTGAATGTTTTTGTCATTTTTGGTAAAAAGTGATATTTTCGACTTCTTGTTAAAAACTGCAAGTCCAATTGTTTTGATATTACATATATAGGTACTACATGTGTATCTCTCTCAGATTTGTTCATTTTGTAATGATATCTTCAATTCTCTAATTTTGGTGAATATTTTTTTCATTTTTGGTAAAACGTGATATTTTCGACTTCTTGTTAAAAATCGCAAGTCCAATTGTTTTGATATTACATATATAGGTACTACATGTGGACCACTCTCAAATTTGTTTATTTCATGATATTTTAAATTCTCTAATTTTGATGAATATTTTTATCATTTTTGATAAAAAGTGATATTTTCTTCTTGTTAAAAACCACAATCATTTATGGTGAAAAATGATATTTTTGAATTCTTGTTGAAAACAGCAAGTCCCATTGCTTTGATACTATACATATTGTTCATTTTCTAATGATATCTTCTGTTCTTTAATTGAAATGTGCATTGCTAAACAGCGGAGCTATCTCAGCCAAGAGGCTGCTTGTTATTTTTTTAAGCTTATTCACAGATTTCTTAATTGACTCTTAAAAACTGATGGGCTATATCCTTAACAATTACTTGTTTGCATGTTATTTTGCATTTTACTTTATTTGTGCATGTTTAAAATACTGGTAACCCCTTTTCTAACTTCAGTCTCCAGCTGTTCTGAATGATAAAACAGTACCGATTGATGTGATTTTATTCATTTTAGGGCCAATTATTGAACGGTGAATTAATTTCAACAATACTATTGGTTCACATTGTATTATTAATACATGTTAATCTAATACTGTACTTTTCATGTAGCAGGAATTCTATAAAACCTATGAAAAAATGTTAAAAATTTGTTAAGGCGTGGTTTTTACAGGATGATTTGTTATACAATGTTAGTGTCTGCTGAATTTTGTAGTGTGTTCAAACACCATGCCAATATTAAAATTCACCCAAACAGAATGCCATATCTACATGAAACTACACATAATGACTATTATGTAACAAGTCTAATAATATAATCAAGACTCATTCTGTATTACATTATCATTGTATTTATCCTGTAAACAATTAGGTCAATTTGTTTTCCAGAATCTATGTACATGCTCAGTTTTTTTTTATTTATATAAGAATTGTTCTTTTGTTTTGATTTTCCTGAAAATTTTATTTTTATGCTGAGAGGTACATAATGATCAGAAAATTTGTTTATCATTTTTTTATGTTATTTAAAAACTCGTAATTCAGAACTACATTTTTCCTGCAAAGCAATGCTACATGTTTCTAATAGTGTGGTTCATCTTCATCTTTGCGCTACATTAGTTTGTAGTGAGAGTCAAACCAGAAGCTTTAGATTTGAAATCAGTTCCCTGTCAACTTTTCATCTTTGCAGCTGGCTCCATCCTCTTGCTTCTAATTTTCTCTACTTTTTTTTATTCATCTTGCTTGTCTTCACTGATTGTCATGTCTTTGTTTTCATTGTCTTTCTTCATTTTTTGCTGACCCAGCTGTTGGCTTGGTACATGTCACTCAGCTGTATATGGAGGATATACGTTCGCACGGTGGGTTTCTCTTCCTGCATCAATCTAAGCATGTCTTCGTCTTTTTTTTAAAAACATTTCAAGAATTTTAGCACTCTTGGTTAGATTTCTGAATACTTGTTGTAGATTAGACTTCTACTGTTTTCAACAGATCACAACTGTGGCATGCTAGTTTACTTTGTAAAGCGCCCTCAGTGGTGTGTTTTGTTGAAAGCACCTTCTCTAGTGGTGTTTTATTTCATGCACATTCCCATGATGCAACAGTGTCTTTTGGTCTTTCTTGCCTTATTTAAGGATTGACGTGGCTGTAAATTAGTAATAACAAATGTGAACATTTTAAAAGCGCCATGAAACTTGATATTTTGCTGAGTGAAATGAAAATCTGGTGTAACCGTGGTTACTAAAATCTTATTTTAATAACCGTGGGGTAACCAAACACATTTCTATAGAAACAATGGCTGTGTGATTTTTCTATAGCGTTTAACTTCACTTTGGCAAAAATTGGCAAAATGTGTACAATTGAGGTTCACAATTCCAACAACTAGTTTTCGTACCCCAATTTTTTCTTTTGATTGAATTTAGCAAAATGAGCTGCGACCATTTTTAATGCAGGTATGCTATTGCCTTTTCTCTATATTTACATGTTTGCATAATTTACATACCATCTTATTTTGTCTCCAGTACCTATCCTATTGTTACCAATACTAATGTAGAAGTTCTTATTGATTCTCTTATGTACTACTGTAAAATACTTTATTTTACCTGAAATTAATTTTTTGCTGTAAAGAACTTTTGGCTGTACGAAATGTAAAATGTAAGAAAAAAGGTATATTCGCTGAATTTTTTTTCCACTGAATACTTCCTTCAGTGAAAATAAAGTATTTTACAATATAACTTGGTCTTTAGATTTTAACAAAATATAGTATTCACATTTTGGAATTTCCACCAGAAGAGTTTTTTTGTTTTTTTTCAAGGTCAAAAATGATAAAACGCTCTGCTCACTAGAAGCTCAGAACTTATCAGTAGTGATTTTTAATTACTTTCTGCTGGTCCAGATGTTCAAAGCAATAGTGCAGTGATTGTGATGATTTTTTTTTTGCTGGGAATTTTTATATCTTGTTGGTCTTGTTATTAATATTCTAGTTCTTGTCATTACTCAGCTAGTCTGGGAAACATTGGCAAACTTACTCACTAATTCGCCAACTACTTTGGTTCTGACTAAAGCAGATTCCTTCAATTCAAATATTACTCTTTGTACTAGTCATTTCCAAAGAAAACTATATTTTGAATAAGTTTATAGGGTTTTACTGGACTGAACAGTGTACATAATAGTTTGTTATTTCCTTTAGTCAAAACAAAAATTGTTGGTGAATTATTGAGTAAGTTATCTAATTTTCTGCTCCAATCCTTGGGAGGTTTTGAATGTGTTCAAACTTTCCAAACTATCAATGAGTAAGATTTACAATGTTTTACTATGTTTATTGTTTTTTTTTAATTATTTAATTATTATGTATTTTCTCTTGAATTCTCTGATGTAGATATAAAACACATTTGTTTAAAGTTAATTTCTCTCATGCAAAAAGTGGAAAACAATTTCGCCTTCAGCATGCTGTATTTTTTGTTGTTCCATTACAAGGGGTTGAACTTTGAAGTTAAGAGGACACCCATATTTAAGACTAAAATTTATAAAATGGTCTTGAATATGGCATATAGGGAATATCAGAGGGCACCAAGGCAAACTCACTGGGTATCAAGGCAAACTCACTGGTATCAAGGCAAACTCACTGGGTATCAAGGCAAACTCACTGGGTATCAAGGCAAACTCACTGGGTATCAAGGCAAACTCACTGGGTATCAAGGCAGTTGTTGTTAACACATGCATTGCACTAGTTGGTATATTAAAAGTATTAAGAATAAATTATGCATACATTTGATCACTCAAGCATTGTTGCAGATAAAGATATACAACTAGTGCCATAGTTGAGGCATTTGACAAGAGATATTACTAGCATATCAGAAGATCATATATGGTCATGTGACCGTTACAGTCAGTAAAATGCATTCAGTGCTATAGTGAGGACATCAGACAAAAGATATGACTTAATAAGAATAATGTATATATATGCAGTAACAGAGAAAATAACAGATGTAAATCAATAAATAAATTGGGCAAATAAAACTGATTGCTAAATACAAATAAATAAGTACATAAATAAACAAACAGCTAAATGAGTGACTACGGTAAATAGCAGTATTAACATACATGTACATGGCTGGGAAACAGCAGTTAGCTAAAGAAAAACTAGTCGAGGCTATTTTCCTTTATTACTTAGTATACTTATGATATTTCTTGACTAATGTGTGGTCATGTGACCTCATTTATATTCATAACTGTAATATCTTAAGTACTGTTGCAGATATGGACATGCAGCTAGGGCTATAATTGTGTTGTCAAACAATATATAATATCAAGTCATTATTTCATTAAATATTTATACTAATTGTTATACTAATTAGTAATTGTTAAACCATAGATACTTGGAACCACATTGATCGTTCCTTACAGTTATATTTTTAAATGCTGTATTTGCTCTGTTAGAATCACATCTGCTCAAATGTTAATGACAGAAGCAAGTCTGTGTTCAAAAAAAGACCTACTTAAATTATTTTGCATGCATTAAATACAACTTTTGATATGTGTATTGAAAATGTGCTTCTAATATAGTAAATATAGTATTCATTATTTGTACTTAATGCCTATAATACCTTCAGCACCTGAGAATTCTTTCTAAGCTTTCTTTGATTTAATTTCATTGTTTTATATCCAATGAATGGTTTTTGAATTCCATGTGCGAAGCACAAGAAGGGAGTCTTTGCAGTTACCGGTAGTGTGTCTGTGTGTGTGTCTGTGTGTCTGTTCCACTGATATCTCAAGAACCATACATTGATTTTTGATGAAACTTGGTGCATAGATGCTCTGGGCCAATGCGCAGATTTGATTAGGTTTAGGTAAAAATCCATGCATGTTAATTACCTAATTTGCATGACAATTAGCTGATTTTTAGCTGTTCCATTACTGTTCCACTGATATCTAAAGAACCACTCATTGGATTTTGATGAAACTTGGCACATAGATGCTCTGAACTAATGTGCAGATTTGATTAGTTTTGGGTAAAAATCTGTGCAATATTAATTACCTAATTAGCATAATGATTAATCAATTTTTGGCTTTTCCAAGTATCTCAAGTACTAATCATCACAATTTCAATAAAACTTGGTACATAGATGTCATAGGACACTGCACATACCTGATAGTTTTAGTGTAATATCAGTACATATTAATTACCTAATTTGCATAATTAATTAATTTCAGCTTTTAATATTTCAAGTAGTAATCATCACATTTCAATGAAACTTGGTACATAGATGTCATAGGACACTGCACAGACCTGATAGTTTTTAGAGTAATATCAGTACATATTAATTACCTAATTTGCATAATTAATTAATTTCAGCTTTTGATATTTCAAGTAGTAATCATCACATTTCAATGAAATGTGATACATAGTTACTTTAGGACTGTGCAGAGACCTGATTTGTTTTGGGGTAAATATTTGTGCATATTAATTACCTAATTTGCATAATTAGTTATTTTTTTTCCATGAATGTTCCACTGATATATAAAGAACCACTAATTGGATTTTAATAAAACTTTTAATGAGTATTCATCATCACATTTCAATGAACCTAGGGCTAAGCAGAGACCCAATTAGTTTTTGGTAAATATTTATGTTCATTAATCACCTAATCAAAATAATTAATTAACACTGATATCTCAATTACTGATCATCACATTTGAATAAAATTTGGTACATAAATGCTTTAGGACAATAAACAGGCCTGATTAATTTTAGGTTGAAATTTGTTCATATTAATTCTCTAATAATAATTCATAGTTTTTTTGTTCTAATCACATTTCAATAAAACTTGGTACATAGATATTACATTACTCAGGCCTATTTAGTCTTACACTCAAATCTGTTCATATCAGTTACCTGATTTACATAATTAGTTTTCAGCTATTCCATCAATATCTCAAGTACAAGTAATTTTGAATTAATTTTTAATGTGTCTTCAATACTCTTAGCACACAGGAGTTCTTTCTAAGCTTTCTTTGTTTATACTTTCAGGTTGTCAGTGAAACGATGAGTTATTTTAGTTAGTGAGTTTTTATCAGTGAAAACAACAAAATTAAATCCTACTGAACAATTAATGCATTACGTACCACTGAAAAAAATTTGTTTTATGCCCTTGAAAAATGATTTGCAGTCAGTCTCGGCACGCAGCGTAGGAAGCAGAAAAACTGTCCATTTGAAAATAAAATTTTACACATATATATTGTATGGTTCCCATTGGATCTTCATATCATGTGAAAAGGTGAATGTTACTGGGGTTAATGTACAACTTATTTGACTTCATTAGTAGACTCTCCCCCCCCCCCTCAACAGTTATTTTGATTATCCATGGAGGCCAAGCGATGTGTTAAATATTCATGAATATTTATTTAATCAATAGGAAGCTCTGGAGACAAACAAAAGAAACCTGAGGTGTCAAGGCGAGGTTCAGGTGCATCAACAGGCAGTGCGCCCTCATCACCAGAAAAAAGAAAATCACAAGATAATTTTTCACGTACTTACTCGACAAGATCAGCAATGGCGGCTCCGGGTGCATCTAGAAGTAACCGAACTTCGCTAGGTTTGTACATGTGTTTCATCACCTCATGATTATTCATGAGTTTGTTTATTTCAGACAAATATGTAAAATACTAATTTAAAAATATTTGATTGATGTCAAACTTGAATTCTGATATTTCAGGTGCTGCCCTGACAGAAACCGATTGGAACAGTCCACCTACTTGCATTGCCATGTTTGATTTTGTAGCACTGCTGCCATGTGATTTGACTTTCAAGAAAGGCAACGTCATCACTATACTGACCAGAACCTCTACACAGAATGACTGGTGGGAAGGCACTATACATGGTAAAACTGGCATATTTCCAGCCAACTACGTCAAAGCTCTCTAGGGTCTTGTATATTAAGTTGAAAAATATTCAACGCAGGTACTACATTTTTGATAAAGGTATTTCTAGAAAGTTATTCCATTTTTGGAAGTCTTAAAAATGAAACAGAACTAGTTTTTAGATTCAAAATGAGTAGAATATTACGCTGTGGAGAAAGCCATAACTCATTGTTTCAAAGAATTAAATTTCATTTTTATTAAAATTGTATCTGCATTTACAGGTATTATCTGTTGTTCTCAAGATATTCACATTTACAGCCTTTCTCAAAATTATTCGGACAGTCAGATACCAAGATAACATGCAACTTTTCAAAACACTTAGACGTTTGCTTTGTTCTAGACTTGACGGGGCTACTTGGCAGATGGCGCTCTGTGAATGATTCACTACTCCATAGGGTGTTCAACACTATGATTTGAAAACTTGGTGTACATATTCAATAATTATTCTTCATTTCTTATGCAGCTACATTGTACGTAATTCAGGAAAAATATTAAAACACTTCATAATAACCTGTTTCTTTTTTTTTAATGAATATTTTTTCATTTTGAAAAACTGCACTTTACCCTCACGTAGTATGATAATTGAATGACCTAAACTATGGGCATGTCAATGTAATGGACAAAATCCAAAGTGTGTCGCCAAGTTGCAAGTCGCTAGCTGACTGTCCAAATAATTCTCAGAATGGCTGTAAGTTGCACTAATGTGTGGCAGCCATTTTGGTTTCAATAAAAGGCAGTCATATCAAACAATGCTGTATTTGCTCCATTAGAAGAGCAATTCCAATAAATACAGCATGTATAAAACCAGTTGTATGTGTATTGTAAACTGAATCATTCTGTTTTGACCATAGACATAACTCATTTTTGTAAGTGTATGCTCTACTAATTAGACAAATATTGCATCATATATACACCAAGGCTATTTCTTTTTTTATAAAAAAAATTGGAAAATTGTTTGCATACATAAGTTTTTTATGTAATTATTTATGAATAAATTTCAATATATTCTTTTATATTGGAATATCGTTATGGCAACTATGTGGATGTAAATACTAAATGAATAAATGTTTTCATATATGAATGTTGATGGATTAGACCCTCTCAAAAATATTTGTTTGTTTCTGGTCACTGCATTTGTCAGCGGAAACCATATGCGTGTTACAATTTTTTAATGACAATTTCAGAATAAAAAAGCTGCTCATGTACAACAATTTTAAACAAATTAACTAGAAAAGTATTTTTTAGCCTTCTTTGTAACTTATTCATGCTACTTCTGTATTAATATTCAGATGTTAAATTCCTGATAATTGTTTCACTGGAAAATACATGAATTTAAAACACAATGAATTTGCTCAAGCTGTCAAAATAGTGAAATTAAATACCAATGAATAAATCAATACGTTTTTGGTAATTTACAATTTTTTTTTTACAAATGTGAAATATTTCAGATTTATTGTGCCTCAAGTTGCGCACTATAATCTGTGATGTCATCATACCAAATCTATGATTCAAAATGGCTGCTGCATACATACTTCCTTTTAGAAGATGTATATACCGAAAACATATGTCAGTATTATGATGTGGTCTCTTTTCCTATTCAAGTTAAAAGCTGTTAAATTAAAAAAATAAAACATGTTTAATCATAATTGACTGATTGCTATAATAGCCTGGCACCTGTATACTCTTACACCCAGGCTTTGGTATTATTTTGCAATTTTGATTGTTGATACACAATCTATATTTTGTAGTCACTGCAGATTTGATAAAATCTTTGATTTTCTATTCTGACACCTGAAATATTAACAATATGTGAATTAATGTGTATATATGTAAACAAAAACTTGCCATTTTGAAAGTCTTCAGCAACTTTTGCAAAGTATTTTGAATATGCAAATAAGAACATATTTTTTTCTTTTTTCAAAATGTAATTAAAAATTAATGATATATTAAATGTAATTAATAAATATTACATTTTATTTCTGCTGTACTGATTATTTGATAGTACTTATAAATGCCTTGATTTAACTCGCTATGCATATGGGGAATGTCAGTGTTATTTCACAGTCAAATCAAATTAGTTATTTCTATGTACAAAATCCAAACATGACAATAGTAGATTCAATTCCGTTTAATTAAATATATTCATATATACATCTTGTGTCCCTTTAATATGCACTTGCTTCATGATTAAATTCCAGATGGCTGCCCCATGACTATTTTAAAACTATTCAAAAAAAACTTAAAAACAACTTCTACGTGCTAAGCCTATATTTGAGTGCAAATATAGAATATTTAAAATTAAAACAAATTTAAACCAGATGCATATTGGGTAATAAAGGTGTGTCCTTGAGTTTAGTTCAATATGGTAATTGAGATATATATGTAAATTTT